AAAAAAAACAAAAAAAAAAAATTAACTCAGTGTATTTGCTGACACAATTGTGAGAAAGATCAAAACTTTTAGGCAAGTTATATAAAAAAAAAAAAAAACATTTATCTTTGAAAAATTGAATAATGAACAGAAAGCACAGTATTATAGAAACTTTATGTTTTAAACAAATTACAGTGGAAAAATTTAGGAAAATCTATAATCAATTTGTAATTCTCATAAAAAAAAAAATTGGAGAAACGAGTAGCGCACAATAAATGAAAATAATTAAGAGATTCTGTTGATAATATTGATAATTTTCCTCTTTCTATTCCCAAATTTATCATTTCTACTGAAACATTACTTTGTATCTTTTGATAATTTTCATCTTTATATTACTTCGATGCTAATTATATTCGATGGAACGTATCCTATATGCAAAAGTATAAGGGTGTGTCTTGCTTTTCAAGGACATGTTTTTTTAAATACTCTAATCCTTCTTCACTCTAGCCCCGTCCCCATCCCTGTCCCTATCCCTATTTCGAAATAATTCCAACACAAGTTTATAATTTAGTAAATATTTCGATTTATAGAAAAACCCTATGTACAACTTGTATTTGCAAGCATTAAATACTGCTGCTATCTTCTTTCTGTGTTACTGAAAATGGAAATAACTCGATAGAGTCACAAAGTACAAATGCTGAGGACCCCTCCCTACATAGCATTGGTATTTTGATTTTTCGACAACAATGGAATATCTTGTCGCAGGGTAGGGTCCGGAGGAAAAATCGAATCACGACATAAGAGATGATGGAGGAGATATTTTCTTTTTATGGATATAGGAAACAACACGACTCTGATTTTGTCCCCCATATCGTACTCTTCTATCCCAGCCTTAAGCTCTTCGTCAGATTTGATTGAAACTAACTCATCCAAATCATGTTTCGGTAATTTACACTTTAGATTCGCCAAATGCCCACACAAGCCTTCAAATTTCACCATCAATTCTGAATAAAGTTCAAAATTATCTCGATTTATAAAATTGGAATTAAAAAAAGAATCAAATTTCAAAAAAAAAAAAAAGAAGGATGAAGCAACGGACCTGCAAATGAAATGGACCGATCGATTGAGAGGACTCTAGTATGACCACCCTCGTAGCGTAGCATGACGTCACTCCCTTTAGTCGAACGAGAAACAATTCTGCCTCCATAACTGTATAAAAATTTGATAGTATCCGAGTTTGAGGATTGATTCATGATAGAATTTAGTAAGAGAGAGGGTGAAAAGAAATAAAAGCTTCTTTAGAGAGAGAAGAGGCAGAAAATAGAGAGAGAAGAGGCAGAAAATTTGCTTGAATTTGCAGCTTTATGAATCCAAGGAGAGAGAGATGAGGAGTATTTATAGAACTTATACTGTCAATGGGGATGGATTGTGACTGTTCCAATTTGAGTATTATTGCATTGGCCCTTTCACTTTCATACGATTTCGGAATCAATGCAAGACCATGTTTGGTAGTACATACATAAGAAGAACAAGAGAAGTGGAAATAAAATATCTGAATGTGTTAGGCCATGTTTGGTTGTACATAAGAAGAATAAGAGGAGTGGAAATAAAATATTTGATTGTTCTCAAAAGTAATTTTTTTAGTTTCTTTGCATATTGTCGAATTAAATACTCTCTGTATGACAAAAACAAATATTACATTACTGTTTGGTAGGGGATTAAAATGAGATTTTTAATAGATCTTGAGATGAAATGTGTATTTGAAAAATCTTGAATTCCACGAAATGTGCGGTTAAAAAATTGTAAATCCCACGAAATATGTCATTAAAAATTATAATCTTGCTAAAAAAATTATTTTAAATAATTAAAATTTTCACTTATTATTTTTGTGTGACAAACATGACCTAGCATAGAGTAAGTGGGAAACTAGAGGAGCTATGTGGTCCATAAGTCCATTGGAGGTGGGATTAGTGGCGATGGGTGAATGTTGGAGACTCCGAACAGGGTCCGACAAGACTCGTGGAAACGAGCTAACCCCACGTTGAATTTCGGGTTGACCCACTAATAAATTAATGAATTTTGTCCGATTACAGTATTCTCGAGATACTCTCTATTTTGAAAAAGCATTTTATTTATTTATTTAGAGAGCATTTAAAATTTCAAGTATTCCAGCAGATTATTTATATCTAGCACTTAATTTTACTATTAAATATATTTATTTTTTTCATTTTTATTTTCACTAGTTTCTTTCCGAACTATAATATTATTTTTATTTATTGAAAATTGAAATATTTTGAATATAATTAATTATACTCTCTATTTTAAAATATTAATTTAAAGAGTTTCTTGTAATATAATTTTAAGAGTTGACTTTTTAAAATAAAGAGCATGTTATGTTTAAAAAAGCCTATGGAGATGCTTTGATGCTCAAGCGTGTTTAGCCCGCGTCGACAACGCATAAACTCTTTTGTTGAGTGGGACCCACTGAATTTGACATTGTTCTCATTTGTTTTCTTTCTATTTTCAACAATTTGGATTTTTCTTTACTTTTTTGTTGGAGGAAAAATATGAGACAAGATTTGAGGGTTTTTCCAATTTGAGAATTTTAAATAAATGAATTTGCCCTTACATAATTACTGGTGGGTCCTTCAACATATAGCTTATTACATTCTAAGGCCTAATCTGTGAAGTAAAGTACAAAAATGTATACGCTATTAATTAATTATTATATTTAACACCCCCTCAAGCTAGAGGGTAGTGATCTTTGCACCACACCAAGTTTTTCTCCGAGGAAGTTGAACCTGGAAGTCGATAGTGCATTGGTAAGATAAACTCGACTTGATCAGGTGATGAAACATAGTGCTTTGGTAAGATAGTCTCGACTTGATACTTATGTTAGATATGAAGTCCATAGTCTAATGTTCATTTGAGGTATCTAAGTACTTTTCTTTCTTACTTGCCAATATGAAGTTTTTGGCTCTTCAAGAAACTGACTTAGCTTGCTTCCAATAAAGGCTATAAGAAGGTTAAATTATACGACTTTTGCGCTATTTTGGGAAAATCTTTATAATTCAAAGCAAAGGTCTCGAAATTCAAAACCATTTTTTTTTACATCGAAGTAAATGATAGGGTTTTTCAACACTATAAGACTAATCAAAATCTTTTTTTTCCTGTATAATTAGTGCATCTTCGAACGTTATCCTATATGACTTTTGTATTGTCCCGAAAAAATATTTATAACTTAAAGAATGGGTCTCGAATGCCTTATAGGCTTTCCAACAATATGATATTTTTGTAAAGTCAGAGCGGCTCCTGGGTTGCTACAGTACAAGCCGCTCGGCTCAATTGCCACAGTAATCTCAAGTTCATAGTTTTCAACTAATCCTTGCTTTTATTGTTTTGTGTAGTTTAAGTTCAAAATAACATTTAAATCGGTGGTTGACATATAGTTAAAGACTAACAATTTTAATACATGTCAAAATAATCCTCATGACTTGACACTGGACCCTCAATTCATTTTTACTGCTTATCAAAATATTGTGAATTTGAATTTTTGGCATACAGTTCTCTTTAAACTCCTCTAATAAATATTATTGGAACATGTGTTGAGAAAATAAAACCAGCAGCAAACGTGAACCAGCAGAGATGAACCAGCAATAGAAAAAAGATAGATGCGGAAAAACTAAATGATAGATTCAATATGAATAAACACCTTGAAGGAACATGGTGAAGATGGAGATTTATTATTCATCAAATGCTCAATTGTAAAGGTGAATACAATGCTCTATTTATAGAGTAAATTCCTAACTACATAACAAACTAAAGAAGTATCTAGAATAAGCATGCGTTGGCCATGTGATAGAAAGATCTGGAAGAAGGGCCATAAGCATGCTGAACGTGAACTGATAAGCTGGTGAATAGGCTGCTAGTGAGATATTCCAACAACATGTTTGAACATTGAACATAATAATAAATGGAGAGCATTTCTCCTACCAATTAATTTGACAATAATCTAAACTCTTTTAAGTTAATCAACGATTCTACGGGTAAATTACTAAGCTCCAATTCAATTGTGTGATTGACAATATTCGAAGTGATGACCGTCTTACAAACTGAGTAATGGGTCCATCTTGCAAGATATGTTCCTTATCTATTTCACCCGATTGCAAAGCACCAATTTATTCTTCTTTATAAGTTAGATAATACTTGTTGTTGCCTTTAGGATTTTGAAGTATTAATCAAGTTCATTACTGCTCAATAATACGACTTTCGTATTATTTTTTTACATAATTCTGTCTTGCCACCCTTGAAAAAAAACTTGGGTCCGCCCCTGATGCCAAGTATAGCCACAAAAAGTAGTTTTATAAGGAAAGGTCGAGAATAGGTAAGGTTCAACCACAAAGATATCACGAAAATACATAATCATTCACTCATACCCCAAATTGAGCATTGAAGAGTCGTGCCCAAAAACACTCCCAACATGCCGTCTAATGCTTGATTATGGACGGATAAACACGTTTTCATCAGAATCATATTATCAAAGTTGCTACCACATAAATTAGACTCTAATAGTCACGGGTGTTTGGCCATGCAACCGACACATCATACATGAAGATACAACGACTATATTGTCATCACAATTTTTATTTAATAAATCACATTTTAATTGTAGTTAAACTCCCAAATCTTTGCTCATTGTTGAAATTATTTCTTTAATTTTTTTATATCGAATTCTTATCTTCAACCTTCTATTAATTAGTACGTCTCGTTCTTGATAAAGATTTATATCATAATATTTTGTTATCATGCTCTGAAATTAGGGAAGAATATTTTTTCGCACTTTTTATTTTTTAAAAATATGATGAAGAAATAAAATTTTTTACCCCATTTCAATGGACTTTTAATGTAAAATTATTATCAAATACAAAATGTGCTAACTAATGAATAGTTTGATCATAAGAACGACATGAAAAATCGTTAGGAATATAAGTGCTATAATGAACAAATATTAAGAACCTTAAGTGCAATTAAAATGTAGTACAAAAAATAAAAATTGTTGTGTGAATATAATTAATCTATGTCACGTATTTGAACCAAATTTAATTGTTTAGAGGTAAAATATGCATGAAGTGAAAGGTCATGAAACCAACTAACATAAAATTGATTACTCCGTAAAGTAATAAATAACACCCACTAATCACTTCTTTAAATTAATCATTGTTACGGGGTATCAATAAGGGAAAAGCTGTTTTATATTTATGAAACGTATAATATGTTAGATCAAATTGACTAATATACATAGTAGATTTTTTTTTTTTTTCGAATTTAATCTAAATTAGATACGATAAGACGGGTTAGAAAGTCAAGCTCGGCAAAAGTAGTCATGCTTTTTGTGCTACTGACAGATTCACACACCGATCCTAGATTAGTACAACATATGCTATGTCTACAAGTACAATTGGGCTAGAAAATATTTTCGTGACGGACTAGTTCGCGCTTGATTGCAATATGGACGGTTTGACGTATCTAGGTTGGGTCCTCCAAGAATTTATTCTCGAAGAATCGATATTTTTTTTTATTCAAGTGAAAAAGAACCTAAATATGAAGTTTTTTTGTTTAAAATATTTCTTTTGCACTTAAGTGCATTGTAATCTTATTTAAAAAGAGATTTCAAGACCTCCTTTCCTCTTTTTAGAACTTTTAGAGCTCGTCAAAACTTTAACAGAAAAATGTAAAATTATACATAATCTCAAAGAGTAAAGCTTTCCTTTCGTTCTTCTCCAATGTTTGGCTTAAACTTAAGTGATACAAAAGTTGTGCAAAACTAAGGCCATGTTCTTTTTGTCGTTTTCTGTTTTCAATTTTCAAAACAGTAAAAATGTGTTCTCTTTC